TCGTCCAACGCGACCTCGTCCGTTGCTGGCGCCAAGTGCGGCAAGGCGTACGGCTGCTGCGGCACCCGCGTGCGCAAGTCGTGGGACGCCCTCGATGCGGACGAGAAGGCGACCTTCAAGAGCGCGGTGGCTCTCGCCATGGACCAGGGTCTCTACGAGCGCTTCGTGTCGATGCACCGCGAGATCCTCTCGCACGCGTCGTCGCACAACACGTGCGGGTTCCTCTTCTGGCACCGGCAGTACCTCCTCGGCTTTGAAAACATGCTGCGGTCGCTCAAGCCCGAGTTTGCGTGCCTCACGCTGCCGTACTACGACTTTGTCAACGACAACGTCAAGTCGCTCTCGGGCGAGTGCAAGGACATTGCGAGCTGCTCGTCGATCGTCAACGAGCTCGGGAGCGCGACGCCGTCCATCTGGCCGCATGTCTCGCTCATCAACGGGTTCCCGGTGCCCGGTCGGTGCGACAAGGCCGCGCCGCTCAACCACTATTGCCAGTGGCAAAACCCGAGCTCGATCTTGTGCTCGCGCTGCGTGCCCCGGGGTCCGTACCACCTGACGCGCTTCCCGTGCTCGGTGACGCCGACCAACCTGCGCCGGATTCTCTTCAAGAGCGCGAGCTTTGGCGACCTCAACCGCCGCCTCGAGTGGGGTCCGAGCCTCTTTATGCACTTTCACTTGCTCGGCGCGCTCGCCAACCCGTGGGTCGGTCCCTCGGACCCGCTCTTCTTTGCGCTGCACGCCACCATCGACGCGCTCCACACCATGTACTACAACTGCCGCGTGCGTCCGCTCGAGCTCGACGACGCCGCCAAGCAGAGCAACCCGCTCGTCTTTGAAGGCTGCAAGATCGGCGGCATCTTTCCGATCACCTCGACCTCCAACGTCAAGATGAACGCCATCACCAACGGTCTCTCGGTCGTCGACGTGCGGTCGCCGGCCCAGATCACGTCGCCGTTCTTCAAGGACATTCCCAACAAGATGTACCAGCTCGCCGACACGACCGACCTCGGCGACAACAGCTACGAGTACGAGTTTACGGGACCGCTCCAGGTGCTCGCCGAGACGCCGTGCGCGGTCGTGCAGTCCGAGTCCAACATCACCGAGATCGCCGCGCCCAACAAGGCCACGGACGTCTACTTCAAGTGGCGCGCGGCCCTCGCGGCGCAGTGCACGCTCCAGGGCCTCTCGTCGCTCGAGTGCGATATTGAGATCGAGAAGGTGCTCGTGCTCTACTACCACAACTGCGTCGGCGGCGGCGCCGTCGACCTCTCGGCGTCCTTCAAGCTCGAGTGGGGCATCTCGGCGCTCACGGACCAATTGGCGTCGCTCGAGGCGCTTTTGACGGGAAAGGCGTCGATTGCGCTGGAAGCGTTTGGCAACATCAACGAGCAGTTCTTCAAGTGCCGCGGTGACACGTACTAAGCGGGACTAGTAGGTGTTGTGATTTTGGCTAACCTATTCTTTGACGTGGGAAATGCATAATACATGTTTTGTGAGCTGTCGATTCGACGCTAAACTTGTGTTATGAAATGGACGCGATTGGGGTTGGATGAGAATGAACCTATATTCACATATGCGTAGTCTCCGGGATTAGAACATGTTGTCACGTTCGTGCAGGAATATCGTCATCGACACAGGGCTTGCGTACCATTGAGCGAGAGCACCAAGCCGGATGCTCGCGCCCGCATCCAGATGTGCCACATGGGTGATGGCGAGGTTATGGCTTGAATTCACATTGTTCGTGAACGACGTGTTGTGGGCGCGAATCGAATTGATGTCGAGGGACATCGACGAGGACATTGTCCCGCTCACCTCACCAACACAGTGAATGGTGTACACGCCAGACTCGAGGACGACAACGCTCTGGTCATCGTCTTTGAGGTGAATGAGCGCCGCAGCCTGCTCTGCGTCTTTTACTGTCCACGCGCATGGGTCGCTCGATCTGCTCGTGACCGATGTGACGGTGCAGAACGCAACACGTCGCCGGGTGATTATTTCTTGAAGGTCGCGGATGCGAGCCTCCAAGATGTCGACGACATCGACTTTCTTCGGCGTCATCGCAAAGCTGTAGGACGTTGTCCACTCGGGCAAGATTTGGACCGCAATCCCCAGCGTCAAGGCACCGTGCTTCGCACCGAGAGTAATTGAGCTAGCTGGCGTCGCCACGACATCGCTGAACGCCATTGGCGATGTTCTGTCCACGGTAGCGAGTCCGTTCTACCAGCGTTAAATTGCCTAAGCTTGGTAGTACGATATGGCAGAAGCGTACCTTGATAGCGGCCAAGAGAATGGCATTCGGAAGCGCATACGTCGTTTCCATGTGCGTTGCAAAATCCTCGATCACGCATTGCCTAACGAGCAATGATAAATGTTGTGAAAGTTGCGGTAAATGAGGCGACCATTGTTGCTTGGTCGTTTTGGACTCGAGCCAGATCAGCGCACTGGTTTGAGCCGCGTTCGTATGGATGCGCACCCGGTAGGGGCCGTCGTGGACCGTCGATGGAAGGACAACGTCGGCAAACTCACAGTACAGATGTGCAAGCGAGAGGGCAGAGTCCGACATGCTGGCAACACAACCAATCAAGGTATGTCACCAAAAACTACTATAAAACAACTAGTTGCGCAGGAGAATGCACCGTTCTTCCCAAGCGATTTCGTACCAACGGTGTGTCACGTTCCCTCAACGCGTCGACCGTAAGCTTGGATTGAACCAATCGAAACATCATATCAGGCGTTAGACCCTAATCTTAACCTCGAAAAAATCCCTGCCGTTCGTTGCGTTTCAGCTAGAGTTTAGACAAAGGAAGTGCCTCGAGATATAACAATCAAGTCGACCATGTCCGACACTCAAGTGTCGATGGCGTCCTACTTGCACATGCACGACTGTATTTTGACTCGACTGCATGAATTCGGCGCAATATGGACACCGAGAAGGCGTCGAGCGACCGCGAGCGACCGCAGTACATTTCTGTAGTGTCGCAAAACCATTTTTTAAATTGCTCTTTGAGGATACTGAGGAGCACACGACTTGCTTGACATCCCAAGCGATCGCATCGAAATCCACGGGCTTGGAGGCCTCGTGCTCTTGGGCGTTGGCTCCAAAGCCATGCATGCTGTCATTCCCACGCCAACTCGCACGTGGAATGATGATTTGGGCTTTCGCGCTAAGACAAATTCTACAAATAGGAACCGCGCACGCGCTTGTTCTCTTGACGGTCAAAACGGTCGAATCCACACATGGGTCATGATGATCCACGTTAGTTGCTCTCGTCGTACAATGACGTGGCGCGTTGCGAGAGCACTTTATTTCGTACATCCAGTACCACCGTACAGTACATAAAGCGTACTCGTACACTCGCCGTACAGGACACCACATTCCATCTGGCTAGTCAAACTCTATCAATCTATATACCACCGACGTGTCGTCCATGTCGAGACAGTTCACATCTCACTTGGATGATTCTAGGACGCTGCTCGGCTCTATGCATTGCAACATCCAGAACTCCTTATCCATAGTACAGCCCAGTGCAAGTACTAGTAACAGCTCAATCCTCTAGCAGCCAAAACACGCACGTGCATGCGCCCAGAGGCCAGACCAACGTTTTTGTACTCTGTACGAAAAACCTCCCACAATGCATACACTGTATCGTTGTGAATCTCGCGTCGACTCGATCGGCCGCAGTTATGTCGACGACACCATGACCCAACGTGCATGACCAGGTGCAAACCACTCGGGTAGCGCCTGTCGGTGGCGCTCACCCGTGTACGCGTAGTCCAATTGTCTGGACACGGAATTGGTCACGGCTGCAATTGAGGCACTCTTGATAAACACTGTCTCGACAGCCTCATACAGTGTACTGGAACCCGCTGGAAGTGATTCTGCGCGCATAGCATAAACGAGTTGGCTACTTTACCTTTTGAGCCATGTTGGACGACATCGCCCGTAGCAGCTCGACCGCGGGCGCCGACTTGCTCCTCGCCAAGGCCGAGTACATCGACTTGCCGCGACAAACACTGGCCGACGAAGTCGCCTTCTTCAAGCGCCTGCTCTTCGCTCCTCTTGACACCAATGCCCTCGGCGATGTCTTTGGCCCCGTGCCGCCCGACTCGTTCGAGTGTCTGTGACGCTGCGCTCTTCGCGCTCGTATTGCGGCATCGTGGCGTGCACTGCCTTCGTTCGCTGCGCGTCCACGCCTTCTCGCGCCGCGACCGTGCGTTCCAGCTGCAGCTATCGACGACCGACGCTTCGTCGATGAGCTACCACGTATGGTGGACGTTCGATACGTTTGTCGCGTTTGCGCAGGCACTTGTGACGCAGCACGACGCAGCGGTGCAGCGCAAGATTGTGCTCGAGACCGACGTTGACACCAACCTCTTTTGCTGGCTGCGCACCGAGGCGCCGCGCCGGATGGGTGACATGTACACGTTCGAGACCGACCTCCACCACACGTCCGGTCGGATCCAGCACCTCCTCGAGCTTCTCATGCGAACGCACTACTACCACTGGGGCTTCCGCGTCAACGACAGCATCGCTGTTTACAAAGGCGTACCCAAAAGCCTCGTCATAGCCTAATTTTATATGGACCCAATGTCGACAGCCTTGTAGTTGTATAGTATGTCCTTGTATCTGAAGCAAATCACGAGCGACATCTGTGGTCCACACCGCGCTGTCGGAACCTAAGCGAGTACTCAGGAGCGACACAGTGTCGGCAGCTCGAGCTCACATCAATTATTGTCGTAGCATCAAAATGAATAGTGTGTTATTCCGAGTCCAGGGGAAAGAGAAAATGCTGCAAGATCGGAAGCACTTGGATCTCGAGCGCCTCAGAGAACAAGTCGCGGACGTCGTCGGCGCGCAAGACGAGCAGTAAATCGTTGGCGCGAAACGTGAACATGGCAGCAGCAAAGATCGGGAGGATTTCCAAGCTATCATAGCCCAACACGCGGTCCCAGAGCAAGAGGACCTACCCACCATTTAGACATCGCAACCACCAACGCATTTGAAGAAGGGCGACCTGATCAATCTCCAGGATGCCCGAGAAGCCGCTTTGGATCCATGGAAACGCAATCGCGAGCGGCGTGATCCCATGCTACCCACGGCGTTCCAACCCGGTGGCAGCAAGGTATATGTACCTGTAGCAAATGGTGCACGACGTGCGGGATCGTGCTACGAAGTGCATCAGTACGCAACGCTCCAGAGGCAGCGCATACCGCACAAGCAGCGACTCGAACGTCTTGCAGAGCGTCAGAATTGCATTGGGTTTGGACGAAATGACGTGGAGCTGGCACCAGTACCGACAGTACATTTCGCAAAAGATAAAGTATACGTGCGCCGGGTCGTCGTAGAGGTAGCAGAGCGGCGCCGCGTACATAACGAGCCCACTGCGCGGCAGCACCCCCGAGGGCGGCACGGCCGTCGACGCGCCGTGGCTCATGGTCGTCGACAATGGTGACTCGATGCTGGCCGCGGCCTGTGTCCGAATCGACGCGTCGCGCGAGAAGGCCAGCATGACGCTGCGCAAGTGATCTTCAAATGGAAAATAGTCGGAGCTGTCGGTCGTCTGCTGAACGTCGAGCAGGTACATGCCGTCGGTCGCATACACGCTCGACGTTGTGAGAGCTCGGAGCTGCGTGAAATGCGCTTGCTTCTCGGCGTTGACGACGACATTGAGCGCCTGCCGCCACACCTACCCATGCTCATGAGCGTAGCGTCAGTCGTCGTTCTCCTTACGTGTGGACGGATGTTGATGGGGCATCCAGTCTTGGCGTACTGCCGAGCGTTGGGCACTGTTCCGTTCCCAAGGACTCGGTCGCCAATCTTGTTCTTATTGGCAATGTACACGTAGTCGCCAATGATGTTCGGCACGTCTTCGTCGAGGCCAAACTGCGCATGTGTCGGCCCCAGCTCCTACGACGATCATGATGATGCGGCATCGGTGCTGCATCGACGTACGACGTAGCGCTGCTGCATCTCGACCGACGTCTTGGTGTACAGCAGTGGCTGGATCGTGCACCAGTAGTCGGCGTCAATGTGGGCTGCGCGGTTCACAGCCTTGATGCGCTGGAGTGCTTGCAGAAAGTCGTCACTACGCCACAACCATAAGAGGATGGTTGGGATGGTCCATGCAACCTCGTGCAGAGAAATCGCGTTCCGATGATGGGCAACGCATCCTTGGTCTCATTGAGGTACGGGAGCCCGGCCTCGGCGCAGTACTTGACGAACGCGCTCGTCATGCTCGTGTCCCACTGCTGACGGGCGGCTTCGATCGTGTCTAGCGGCTCCTTGCGGTCGTCGTCTCGGATCAAGAGCCGCTTGTCGTGCGGGCTCGCGTCCTGGCGCTGGCTCATGGCCTGCGTGTGCATATCCATAACCGCGTTCTTGATGGCCTGCGTAAGGCCAAGTCGCTGCATGAGGTAGCTCAGGTTGACCTCGATTGGGCCATCGGTCGCGTCCATTGCGCTCAGCTGCTTCTTGAGCTCGTGCTTCATCGTGTTCCGACATTGCCCAAGGAACGGTGAGTCTTTCATGCGCTCGTAGATGTACGCGATCTTGCCTTCCATTGACTGCTCATGGTAGTCGCTCGCAGGACCGGGCGCTGCCATTGCCGAGCGGTCTCGCCCGATCTTGTGTATAAAACATAGGCTGCAGTATTGTGTTTTATACGTTTACACAACGATTTGTATGTATGATGTGTTTGATTCAACACGACGCATTGCGATTGGCCGAGAAGAACCAGTGTTCCGGATGCAAGATGATAACCGGAAGATCGCGTTCGATGCATTCGCGCGCGAGAACCGTCATTTGCCAATTTGCCAAGCTCGAGAGACGACCAGAGGAAAAGGACCAGCGATGACCAAGCCCCGCGCCTTGAAGAGAACCGTGAAGAAAAAGGTCGCGCAGCCCGCGGAAGCATACGACCGAGCCATCGAGGAGCCCATGACGACGAAGATGGCGCCTCCGATGACAGCGAGCCCCCGCCCTAAGGTCACCCCGCTGATGGCGTCTGACGTCGTCCCGATGTCTCCCCCCGCACCGACCAAGATTTCCCGCGTCCAGTCGACGAACGTCGTCAAGAACATGATCCGCGTCTCGGTCTCAGAGATCTGCTACCTGCGAAGTCCTCTTCCCGCGACGTCGAATGGTGCCCATCATGCGCTACTTCATCCTAGGCCTCTTCCCCGAGGACGTCTTCCGGAAGCGCGTCTACGCCGACATGCACATCCACTGCCTTGCGCCCGAGAAAGATGGCGTCGATACAGCGATGCGAGACGCATTGGCCTTGACGCTGTGGATGGAAGAAGGCGCGTTCGAAGCTCTCGAGAAGGAGTATCTGGAACAACTCGTCTTCTGCATTTACGCGGTCGGGAAGGATGCCAAGCCCGACAAGCTCCTCGAGAGGTACGTGCTATGGCCTTCACACTGGATTTTTACAAAGTCGTGTGTACCGTATTGCAGCTATTCGTTCAAGATCCGAAATACGCCGGATGCAACGACGCTCACGACCAGCTTTCTGGGTCATGAAGTTGTGAGCTCAGACCCCGAGAAGATCAAGGACCAAGCGATCCAGATGATTCGGTCGCTTGTGAGCATCACGAACTCTCTCGACGCGCTTCCTGGGAACCGCTTGCTGACGATGAAGCTTACGTACAACGGTGCGCTGCCACTGACTCAGCTCATACTAGTATGATTCTACCACTCATAACTTCAACGTAGAGACGTGCCCACGCGATTGGCAGCCGAAGTACTTCAAGCAAGCAACGTCGGACTTGAGCGAAGAGTTCGTGAAGCCCTCTCTGAAGGTCGATCTGGTACCACCTTTTTCTCGAACGATGTGAGCCTCATGATGTGGCAGGGACGGATCATGACGCCGTTCCACTTCGTTTCGATGCGTCTGGAAGCGTCCGAAGACGCATTTCAGGTCGCGGCGCAAGAGCTGCCTCAGGAAAGCTTATCTCAAGCTCAAGCGCCAATGTCGCCTGCCACTGAAGGAGGGCATTCGTTCGGCGGCGGGAGCCCTCCGTCCAGCGTGAGCCCCGTTGCAGCCACACAGCCACCATCACCGATTGACGTGCCGACGCAACGAGCGACCCAGCCGAGCCAAGCGCTGGCGAAGGAAGACATTATGAAGTACTGCGTCCAGTTTGAGACCATCGAGATGTCAGAGTACGTTGTCTGTCGCGACAATGATCTCGTTCACCGATACATTATTTGGCTCTAGAATCTTGACGAGATTCGACCTTGCTCCATCGCTCATGAAAAAACGCGTGGACGAGGTTGGCAACCTATTGATACTACACCAAGTTCTTATGCGTGCGGTAGCTCTGCGCAGAGAAGGTTCTTATCCCGAATCCCGACGCTGTGGACTCGTATCGCGTCGGGGTTTACCAAGACCTGTCGTACTACCAGGCCATTCAGTTTGCCCACGGAAAGCTTCGCCGCTACGTATCCGTGCTTGCTCTTGCCAAGTTCTTCTCGTGGACGCTCCTCTTTTCCAAGGCCATCATCATGCGTATGCATCACGAGCATCTTGTCGACATGTCGAAGCCGCCGTCGTTCAATGGATACCCCGTGCTCTACGACGGTACGACTCCCTTTGCATCATTTCGCACCTCAAGTAGCATGTCCTGCATAGAATCGACACGGCACGTGATTCAGGCCGCCATTCAATCACGTACTGTTGTCTTTTTCTCTTGTACTCCGATGCGATTGTCACTCGTGCGTGGGTTTAGTGAACGAAGCCAAAAATCGCCCGAAAAAGCGCGATCGCTCGCCGGTGCAAGCCAGCAAGGGGCCGCACACGAGTTCTTCTGGCAAGCCGATCTTGCAGACGAACCACGCCCCCAAGAAGCGCCGCATGACAATCCAGGCAATCTCGATGACACCCGTGTCGTTTCTTTAGCCGCCAAGCAGTTCCAACTACACATTATTTCGCGTAATTTAATTCAGGGTAAGCCTCTATGATGCGAGTCCCATGCATCCATGCACCATCCCTTAACGTTTAGGAACCGCTTCTTCGATCGTCACTACTAGTACATCTATGTCTATGCAATCTGCACCCTTGGACACGCATCGGCTTGCCACTGCATGGTCAATGCAGCGCTACCGTACCCTACCGACATCATGTACTATTCACCAGCGGATACTGCAACCTCGGCCATCGCCCACGTTGGGTGCCTTTTGCTTGGTCCTCGTCGCTCGACAAGGCGCTGGTTCGAAAATGGAGGTGGCAATGACATCCTCTCCTTCAACAATCCCCATGCACCATCGCTCCGTAGTCGGATGCCAGTGGCGCTTTGTTCGCTCGCATCCAATGTAGATCGCATGCGACAGTCCATGCCACGTCTGGTCCTTCAACCCACATGGTAGGTCCCGCGCGAAAAAATACCTTGATATTTGTATGCTCAACGGGTCCGTCGCATTTTATGACGCGTTGAAGTGGCGGTGTGCGATAAAGTGCGCCAGGGATCCGTTTCAACCCCAAACCGTACCTAAACGAGAAGATGCAAGACTCAATATCCTGTAGGAATGCATACCTTGCTTCTGCTTCGTCACCTACAAAGTTGAAGGTGCGGACTCGATATACCTCGCAATGTGATATTCTGCCGAACGCGATGGATTCTGACACGCTTGCACCCACATCTGAGTTCGATATTCGATTTTTTGCGAGACCGGAGCGATGGGGCGACGAAGGTCGCGCTGGGCGGCGAGCGCTCTGGCTGTCGGTTTGCACGCGGCGTACGGATTGCGAGGCGAGTCCGAGGCCGTTGCGCCGGAGCACTACATCGGCGACCACGAAGTGTACGTAGCATGCACGCGTGGCAGCAAGGGCAAACTCGTTCTCGTAGAATCTGGTCCTGGGGCTCCAGCGTCGGCGAGCGCGGTACGGCGCAGCCCGACAACTGGATGAGCGTGACACATGATCAACTGCTCTACACCAACCCCAACATCACCAAGCTGTGCGTTCTCGAGCTGATTTGCATGCTTCGGGCGACTTGAATGTGCTGTTAGGACCATTGCCAACGTCGAGCTCTCGGTGCTACCACGGTACTCGCTGCCACCGCAGCTCACAGACGTGTACGCGATATTTCTCGCCAAAGAAATGATGTGGACATATTGTCTATCTTGCCAGCATGATTGCCAACTGCGATCTGACAACCTTGCCACATGACATTGGCGCCATGACCGCGCTACGGCAACTGTAGGAATCGGTAGTCCTTTGTCTTCATCTCATTCGCGTGTAGCGACATTTCCAACAACCAAATTGTCTCGATCGCCAAGAAGCCATCGACCATCACATACACCAACCTCGTTGCCGTGTACGTGCGCGTCCATGCCACATCCTTCTCTTACGATCTGTTAGGAATGCCAAGAACAACAACTTGACGACGTTCAACCTCTCGGCGCCCAACCTCAGCCGTCTGTATGTATTTCCTCGAATTGTTATAGCACTCAAACATTGGACTGTAGCGACTTGACGGGTAATGCGCTGTCGGCGATACCCAACTGCATCTATGGCATGCTCGACCTCGCCGAGCTCTACCTCGCAAGCAATTCGATCCCGGTGCCCGTCCGCATCACGTACAACGAGTTTGAATTTCTCTCGGCGCTCGACTATTTTGATGTGGACGCGCCGCCCGGTGGTGCGGCCGACTGCGGCGACGACCAAGCGCACTCACTCAAAGGCAATATCGTCTGCGTCACATCGACGGTCGGGCCGCCGCTGCCCACGTCGGCACCAACAGCCTCTGGCTTTTGGAGCTACTCGACGCTCAGCTGGTTCCTCCTCGTCTCGGGGATTATTGAAGCCATTGTCGGCGTTTTTGTTTGCTTTGTGTACAAGCGTCGGCGCACCTACTCGCGCGGCGTGCAGTACACGTCGAGCCACTCGTCGGGCGAGCGCGAGCGCCTTCTCTCGGTCGAGCAGGTCATCTACGCCAGCATGGAGTCGCTCGCAATGTCGCCGCTCACGACGCGCTTTGAACACAACGTTCCGCGCCTCGAGTGCGACGCTATTTCGATGGAGAAGCGATTGGCCCAAGGCGGCTACGGCGAGGTTTGGCTCGGCCATTACCACGCGTCGGTCGTCGCCATCAAGATCTTATTGCCCGAGAAGCGCAGTCAGAGCGACATTGCGGCCTTTCTGCGCGAGATTACACTGCTCGCGAGGTAGATTCTACATCATTTCGCTTCGGTTTACATGGACCAGCGTCTCAATATTGCTATTACTAGCTTGGACCACCCACGAATCGTGCGCTGCATTGGCGCGGCGTGGCCAAAGTCGAAGCGCGACATGATGCTACTGACCGAGTACGTGGCCGGCGGCGACCTCCGCGCGCTTCTCGACTTGGACCCGAACATGAAGTGGCCGTCGACCAAAGTGCGCTACGCGCTGCACATTGCCGAGGCCCTCGAGTACCTCCACAGCCTTGATATGGTTCATCGCGACATCAAGGCCAAGAACGTGCTCGTGGACCCGAGCGAGAATGGTGCCAAGGTGTGCGACTTTGGCGTCGCGCTGCAGCTACACCCGACGGTCGAGGACACGGTGGACGTGACAAGCCACGGCTTTGGCACGTCGCGCTGGATGGCGCCCGAGGTGCTCACGGGCGACGCGTACACCAAGGCGGCCGACATTTACGCCTTTGGCATTGTCCTTTCGGAGCTCGACTCGCACCAGATTCCGTTTGCAAACGAGCGCACAGCGTCGGGCAACGACCTCACCAACCTCGCAATCTTACAGCGCGTCGTCAACGGCCAGCTCAAGCCCAAATTTGGCGCGTCGTGTCCACCCGGCCTCGTTGCTCTCGCCGACTTGTGCTTGCACCCAAACCCCAAGGCCCGGCCCGCGGCCCACGCCGTCGTCGCGACCCTCACGGCACTGCTTTGTAGCGTATGAACCCAGTTTTGCAAGCGTTTGAATGGAAGTTGAGAAAACCACTTTGGTCGAACGTCACCAAACGTTGGGACGCGGCGTAGTTCTCGTGGCCGTTGCTTGCTCGGTATGAACCCCGTCTATCGAGAGAAGGCACCGTTGTGGACTGGTTTTGTCCATGCTAGCACCTCTGCCGCGTACCCAACGGACGTTCCGCGCTCGCCCCAAACCCGTCACAAGCACAAAGACGACCACGCTGTACGACTGCAGCTGCTTGTTGTCTGCACACGCCGTTGCTGTCGGCGCAACATTCTGCCCTTCCATTCGGTCCAGAGCTTCACCACTGGCCGCACGAGCCGTGCATAGAGACAACAACGCCGGTGCGTATTTTCTGGTGTGTTTAAAACTGATCCGGTCGTTGGTGCCTTGTCTCTGCGCGGCCTCCCACAACACCAAGCGCCCTCCATGAGCAAGAAGGACCCAACGACCGACGCAGAGAAGAAGACCCGAGCATCCAAGCGCCTCGCCGACGCCCTCAAGCGCCAAATTTCGACCAAGAAAAAGGCGCGAACCACGACGCCGCGCGTGGGGAAACCACGGGATGCACCAAAGATGGTACTCGCCGCCCCCGAGCGGCGCCAGCTCATTGCGTTCTACTACATCCACGTGCTCGCGGCGCCCGACGAGACCAAGTGGGACGGTGTCAACGGCACGGTTTCGACGCTGGTCAAGGCACTCAAGCTCCCTATTGGCTCTCGCGCGGCCGTCCGCCATGTCCTCGAGGTCGTCCAGCACAAGTTTGCCACCGGCGAAGCCTACACGGACGTGACGCCTAGTTGAGTGCATCATACCTAAGCGTTGGCAAGTCTCCGGTTTGCATCCAACCGTTGGTGGTGGAGCCGTTGGCGCCGGGTCCCAGGTGCCCACGACGGGCCATCACTTGGCAGAAATCGACTTGCCAGCAATGTCCTACGTCGCCAAGCATCCGAATCCATTGGGGTCCGCGCTTCTTGGCGCATGGCTTCTTGTCATCCTCTTCGGGCAGTGGCTCTCGCGTTCAAAGGATCTTCCTTCTGCTGGCACGACGTTGCTCTACGAGCGTAATCTCCGCTTTCGGTCGCAACCCGAGAGTTTCCACGTCCTTGTCACCGCCGCCGACGACACGTTTGCACTTTGGATCGAGTCGACGTCGACGCACGAGCAATGGTCAACAACACGTGCGTCTCGTCCGCAGCGACTCATGCGTTCGTAGGTACATCTCGGTGCGCGATCTCGCCGTGCACAACACGGGTGACGTTGTCTTACCCATGACAGCGGTCGTCGCCGGTGCTCAGGTATCGAACGATTTCCAAAACGATGGCAACCTCAGGCATCTATGGTAGTGGGCGTTGACCAACAACGGTGCGGCAGCGTCGGCCGACCTTCGCCGCACTACCGCCGGTGCTCTCGTTCTTGAGCTCACGATCCCCGCGTGTTTCGGCGCCGTTGCGCGCTACGCGTTTCCTGTCGCACGGATGCAACTGAACTCGGAGCGGGCGCTGCGAGCACGGCTTCGCGCCGCGGAAGCCGAGCGGGACCACATGGCGCGGCAGTTAGCGGCCCAAACCAAGCAGCTCGAGTGCGATCGCGAGGCGGCCGTACGCGCGGAATTGGCAGCCGCTGTGCAGCGCATCCGGTACGAGGCGTGTGTGCGCGCGGCGAGCGAGGGCTGGACAAACGTCTATCGAAACTGCGAGCATCTAGTGCATGACCGCCACTAGTCGCCGACGCTTGCGAATAAAGACCACGTCCTTGTGTATCTGGTGAAACATCGCTGCGATGATGAGCAGTCTGAAGCGACTGGAGATCATGGATGGAGGTAGCGTACTTGGTACGGACCTGAACTGATGCAGGTATCTACGTCCGGGCTTTCCAGATTGCGTAATGATGCACCTATCATGCAAGGTGCACAGCTCTGTTGTGGCACACGTGGTCGCAACACTATCTGATGTGCCATCCTCTCCAGCTGTCGGCTGTGATAATTGGCTGTGACACGAAAGTGAGTCGGGCTCGGTGTCAACTAAATAAGTGCCGAAGCATCCTCGTCCCGACGACGCCGCCGAGCCGCGACTCCAGTGCAAACTCAAGAAGACTCACATCGACATTTTTCAGCTCACCTTCCACAAACATCGCCTATACATGACGAGATGCGTGGACTTGCCACGCGATTTACAACCGAGGAAGCCATCGAGAACCCTTCCCCTATCCTCTGATATATCGCCAGCACCGGCTTCCACCTTGACAAATCCCGCCGATTGGCAGTGCAGTGAACACTTGGACGAACGTATCATGTAATGGTGTCAGACCACCACCG